TGAGGCCCACAGGTCCACTGTGACACCTGGGGGTGGCCTACAATACAAGGCTATTAGCTGCCCTACAAAAACATGCCTTAAGCTTTCCCATCTTTGTTCTTTTGTTCTCCCAATTACCCCCTCCCCTCTTCTTCATCTTCCCTTGTCAAAATCCCACCTTCAAGACCCAATGCCAAGGCCACCTCCACCAGGAAGCCCTCTATTAAGATCATAGTGCCAAAGAAAAAAAAAAGTTATATTATAAAAAGCTCCAGGCTGCCAGAGTCATTTTCTTTAATGTATCCTTAATCTTTATCCAAGTATTTTTAGCTCAGAGCAGGGATTGTCAGGATCAAATTCAGCCCACCTGGCTGTGTACTGGCCTTGAGCTAAGAGGAGTTTTTTACATTTTTTAAACAAAGGATCCATTAAAATAACCCTTTGTACAAAACCAACCCTCTTCCAGCCTGAATCTGGTGAGAGGGGGCAGGAAGTTTGGTGCGGTCTGGGGCTTCCCCAAAGCACTCATCATCCCCAGTCCTGAATTCTGGTTATCTGTGTCCATCTACACGGATGAGATTATTATTAGATTCTAAACCTCCATAAGGTTGGAAACTGGGTCTTAACTTTCCAGACAAGAACAAGAGGCCATCATGGATAGAGTGCTGAACCTGGAGGCAAGAAGACTCGAGTTCAAATCTAGCCTCACCCTTACCAGAGAGCTGTGTGACCCTGGACAGGTCCCTTAATCTCTATCTGCCTCAGTAGCCTCATCTGTAAAGGAGGGGGGTATTTGTAGCACTTACTTCCCAGGGCTGTTGTGAGAATCAAATGAGAGAATCTGTGTAAATCACTTAGCACAATGCCTGGCCCATAGTAGGTGCTTTTTCTCTCCTTCCACCTCCGAGCCTTGTTGTGAGGGGGAAAGGAGACAATGTTTGCAGAGCACGTTGCACACATTAAAGCACTCTACTATTATCATTTGTCTCCTCAGAACTTAGCTTAGTTCCTGTCACATAGTAGGTGCTTAATATGTCTAGCGAAATACATATTGACTGCTCACTGATTTAGGGGCTACCCTGAGATTACACAGCTCCTAGTGGTGAGGATCCTTCTATCAGATGCAGAGACAGGATGAGGGGTCCAGTCTCTTCACTCCCATTGTGCCAGAGGCTCCCCACCCCCCACTTCTCTCTGGAAGATTCTAGAACACCCAACACAGCGTCATCCATGCCCCTATGCCATGGGCCCTGATCCAACCAGGACAGCCAGCCCTCCCCCACCTGGTGCACTGCCCAGCTTAACCAAAACCCCAGAAGCTGTTTCCTCCCAAAAGGAGCAAAGCTGGGTTTGCTTCCTGCCCGAGCCCTTAGCAAACACCCAGGCAGGTCAACTTTCCTGCTGCTCCACCCTCAATAATGCTCTCTCCACCTCAGGAAGCCGAGGAGATGAGTGGGGTGTAGTCCCAGGGCAGGATTGGGTGAATTCTCTGGACTCCTCACTCTCCAAATCCCATAATCTCATCCCCCAGAGCTGGCTCTAGGCTGCAAGGTCAGATCACTGAACAATTTCCAAGCACTCGGGTCCCTTGAGATTCTCTCCTTTTCCTCCCTCCCTCTTAATTAATGGCTATTAAATAAATGAATGAAAAAAATAAAATGGTGTCAACAATTCTAGGCACCCCCTTCACTGATATACTCCCTACCCCCCCTTTCTATACTCTAAGATTCCCCTCCCCCCAGCTCTGACCTTCCCTGTTCTAAGAGCCCACTCAGCTCTGACATTCCATATTCTAAGGTTACACACACACACACACACACACACACACACAGTTATGACATTCCATGTTCTAAGGGCCCACCCAGCTCTGACATTCCATGTTCTAAGGTTACACACACACACACACACACAGTCATGACATTCCATGTTCTGAGGGCCCATCCAGCTCTGACATTCCATGTTCTAAGGTTACACACACACACACACACACACACACAGTCATGACATTCCATGTTCTAAGGTTACACACACACATACACACACACACAGAGTCATGACATTCAACGTTCTAAGGGTCTTCCTGGCTCTGATATAACATGTAAATGCTTTTACAAATCGTGATCTTTGCATTATAAACCACGTGTTGGCTCTTCTCCTCGCCATTCCTGGTCCTAAGAGCCAGCTTTCTTTCAGTGCTTATTTAGTTCTAAATGCCTTGGACCTGCTTGCTGTGGCCCGGAGGATCTGGCCAGCAGGCTGGCTTCCCTCCATCACTAGCTATGGGACCCTGGGCATGTGTGAGCTTCAGTTTTCTCACTGGTAAAAAAATTTTAAAAAAAGGAGAGGTCAGCCCAGCTGTGCTCTGAGGCTGCTGCATAGCTGGAATTCCGTGATCCTATTTAAGATAACAGGCTCCCAGAAAGTGCTTCTGATGACCCAGCACTTTCGGTCATTATCTCCTTAGGGACTCCCAGAATATCCCTATGTCATCGATCCAGATCCAAGGTGTCAAAAGAGCTCATCAGATCAATTAATTTTTGCTAATGGACCGACAAAGGGGCAAATACCCCAAATACACTTTCGACCCCTCACTCTCACTCCCCATATCCATTGGTTGCCAAGTCCTATTGATTCCACCCCATAACATCTTTAACTGTCCCCTTCTCTCCTCTAAACTGTCAGTCATCCATCCCCTCAAGCCTGGTTCTTCCCCTTGCCTCAAGTCTCTCCCACTCCAATGTCTCCTCCACTTAGCTATCAAAACAATCCTTCTAAAATGCAGCCTCCCCGGGTCACCACACCCTGCCCCCAAGATCAAATAGAAAATCCTCTGATTGGCTCTTTAAGCCCTTCCGGACTGGCCTTAAGTTTCTTTACTCCCTCCACCTCCACTATTCAGCAACACTGGTCCCCTTACTGATCAGAACAAAATACACCCCAAATGGAGGCATTTTCAGTGGCTGTCTCCCCAGCCTGGAACTCTCTCTGCTCAACTCTGCATCAGGCTTGCCTTCTGTTGTTCAGTCGCTGGCTCTTTGTGACTTCATTTGCAGTTGGTTTGCTAGTTCATTTTACAGATGAGGAAACTGAGGCAAACAGAGTGAAGTGACTTGCCCAGGGTCACACAGCTAGGCCACATTTGAACTCAGATCCTCCTGGCTCCAGGTCCATCCCTCTATCCCCTGAGCCACGTAGGTTTCTCTTGCTTTCCTACAAGTCCCCGTTAAAATCCTTCTTCTACAAGAAGCCTTTCCCAATTCCCCTTGACATTAACATCTTCCTTCTAAGATTCTTTCTAGTATCCTCTCTCTTGTATACAATACACTTGGTTGTTTGAATATTGTCTCTCCCATTAGCTCCTTGAAGGCGGGAGGCTTCTGCCTTTCTTTGCATCTCCAGCGCTTAGCCCTAGCACCTGGCACAGAGTAGGCCCTTAATAAATGCTTATAGTGTGACTGACAAAGCCTTTCTAAGGCAGGTTAAGATTCCTAACCTTTTCTATATCCTCAGACCCCTCTGGCAGTCCGGTGAAGCCCATGGACCCCTTCTCAGAATAATGTTTTTAAATGCATTAAATAAATAGAAGAAAATACTAAATTTCGGGTTTGAGGTTAGTAAAAATAAAGATGGAAATTTTTTCCAAATCCCTGTTCCCATACTCCAGATTAAGAACCCTGTTCTAGAGGCAGTACCCCACTTCCTCCTTTGTTGAAATCATTAGTGACTTAAGAATACAAATGCCAAAGGCGGTAACAGAGGAGATATTCTGAGGGACGAAGATGATTTCCGCCCCCTCCCCCAAGCCAAGCCTTAATTCAGTTCCTTTGAGGACATTCTCAATTAAAAGGGTTGTTGACCCTGGATTTGAGAACAGGTGGGAAGGCCTGATTCTCAAGCACGAGAGTTAGTAGATTAAGAAAAGCTGCAATGGTATCTCAAAAGGTAGAGTGGACCGCAAGTCAAGAGACCCGAGTTCAAATTCTACCACTCCCCTACGGTGACCTTGGAAAGTCCCCGACTGTGCCTTAGTTTCCTCTATAAAGTAGGGCTTCTCTCCCTCAAAGAACTGTGAGATTAGATCTCCCTTAACCCTTAAAAGCGCTATGGAAATGTGAGTTCGTATAATTTTTTCTTATCCAGCTTCCCAAGCCCCGAGTCTCTCCATGGGGGAAGGGGGGGGCAGTACACACCCCAACGCGCACCTCTGCTCTCCATAGCTTCCTTGAGGGCCCGGTCCTTGCTGAAGGTGTCCAGGGCCCTTCAGAACACACCGGGGTCTGGGGACTGCAGAGTCCGGGGGCGCTAATGATCGGGTCCCTTCCCTGCCTTAATGCTCCACGTCCTCTTCTGCACAAGCTGGGATCTCCCGGCAGATAAAAAGCCTAGACCTAGGCCGGATCTAGGCTGGGAGAAAGGTGGCCCCCTGACCCCTAAGATTTAACCCATGCTATGTCCGGGGCAAGGGGACCAAGGTGGGGCGCTGGGGTTGGGGCAGCTTCTTCCACCCTAGTGCCCCTGGCTGGACGATGGGGCGGGAGGGGTGGAGCGAGGTCAGGGGAGGAAGGGGGGGGGCGGGTTGTCTTAGACTCGCAGACTGCCCGGCGGGCTCTCCTGGCCCCGGAGCAGGAAGCGGCCTCCGCTTGGCACGGCCCCAGGGCGGGGCAGCGGCAGGTGTAGCTCTGTTCGGGGCGCTACAGCCTGGCACTCAGATCAGGCAGGTAAGAGCCTTCGGGGTGCAGCGGGCCTAGCTGGAGGGGCTCCGTGGGGCTGGGGTACAGGGGCGGGAGGGGCAACCTTGCAAAGGGAGGGGAGGGAGACTCGGGGGCAGCTGGAAGGAGGAAGCGAAAGAAAGAGAACGTGAATGAATGCCAGAGCGCCCTAGGCATGGAGGAGCTGGACCTCTCGGCACCCATCCCTCCCCCCCCAGAAAAAAAAACACCCGTAACTCGGGGTGGAGGAAAGAGGAACGGTCGCGTAGTGAAAGCAAGGACCAGGCTCTTCTCCCATCTTGGGGGGAGAGGAAAGGGGACCGGGGAGTTCTAACCCCGGCACACCAGGCGATTGAAAAATTGATGGTGGGAGTGCACGCGGCAGGATGCTTCCGCGGCGGGTCTCTTTAAGAAATGCGAGTGTGCTAGCCCTTTAAGGCGGGAGGGGGAGGGGCAAGCAGGAAGTATGTCCGGACCGCTGTCTGGGCTGAGCCGGGGGCACAAGGGAGACGCCGAGCTAGCCGGTGCCGCCCTGCACCCTCTCCTTCCCGCACCCGACCTAGCCTGGGATTTCCTAGCAGACGGACCTCTTTGGGACCCTCTCCCTTCCCCCAGCCAACCTAGCCACCGACCCGCAGTGTGACCTTGGGCAAGTCCCTGGCTCTCACTGGGCCTCAGCCTCCCCCTCCCCCCTTGTAAAATGAAGGGACTGGAAACGACGATCTCTAAGGGCCGCGTCTGGCTCCTGACGTTCTAGGGTTAAGGTTCTTTCCATGCCTATCGATCGGCGGTGTCAGATCCTTCCAGTTCCAACATTCCATTTCTTTTGTTGCAATTCGGAGCGTTGTTTCTTACAGCTCCCGGCGTTCCATCTTTTGTAGCTGCAAGTGTCGTTTCTTTCAGCTCGGAAGGTTCTGTTTATTGCATCTCCCAGCGTTACATTTGCTGCAGCTGCAAGTGTTGTTTCTTACAGCTCGGAACGTTCTGTTTATTGCATCTCCCAGCGTTCCATTTGCTGCAGCTGCAAATGTTCTGTTTCCTGGAGCTCCGAACGTTCTGTTTGTTTTAATTCTTTCCATCACTAACATTCTGAGGTCAAACTTGTATGTTCCAAGACTCCTTTTGGTTCTAATGTTTCGGACCATACTAGCTTTGTTCATTAACATTCGGTGCCCTAAGGACCCTGGGTGGACTTAAATTTGATGTTCCAAGATCCTTTCTTGCTCTAGCATTCTGTGGTTTCCATTCAGGTCCCTCACCAGCTTCGGATTCGTGTCCTCTGTTCTAAGACTCCAGTTCTAACATTCTAATATTGTGACAATCTTTGCCTATAACCTCGGTGTCCCATCATTCTCCGTGTAATCAAGGCTGGGCCCTTTCTCTCCCCACCCCCACCTCGCCCTTTCTAGTTTCAGCCCCGAGCCGGCCTTCCCCGGCTGCCTAAAGTAACCCTCCCCCACCTCCCAATTCCTTTACCATGAACAGGACCCCTCTGAAGCGCTCCCGGATCCTGAGGATGGCCCTTACAGGGGCCTTGGAGGAATCGGCGGAGGGAGAGCCGGGGCACGAGAAGCCATTTTTGCTGCGGGCGCTGCAGATCGCCCTGGTGGTGAGCCTTTACTGGCTCATCTCCATCTCCATGGTCTTCCTGAACAAATACCTACTGGACAGCCCCTCTCTGCGCCTGGATGCCCCGCTCTTTGTCACCTTCTACCAGTGCCTGGTCACCGTCCTGCTCTGCAAGGCCCTCAGCCTGCTGGCCACCTGTTGGCCGGGCACCGTGGACTTCCCCTCTGTGCGGATGGACATGAAGGTCTCACGCAGCATCCTGCCCCTGTCGGTGGTATTCATTAGCATGATAACCTTCAACAACCTCTGTCTCAAGTACGTGGGCGTGGCCTTCTACAACGTGGGCCGTTCACTCACCACCGTCTTCAATGTCTTACTTTCCTACCTGCTGCTGAAGCAGACCACCTCCTTCTATGCCCTGCTTACCTGTGGCGTCATCATCGGTGAGTGGCCCCTACCCTCTGGGAGTGACCCCCCCCCCATGGGGGTGAGCTTAAGTTGCATTGAGAGATTTCGAGGTGATGGGCCCCACGTACGCCGTCCTGGTCAGATCACACCTGGAGTACTTTGCTCAGTTCTGGGTGCCATATTTTAGTAAGCTATTAATTCGATGGAAGGCATTGGTGATAGTGAGAAGCCTGGGGACCAGGCCGTGTGAGGATCAGTTATGGGGTGGGGGGGTGGAGTCAGGAGAGGAGCAGGTTTAGGAGAAAACGGATTCGAACAAGCCTGCCAAGAACTGACCAGGGAAATGTGGATTAGTCATTTTCTGTTTGGACGTGGAGGGGAGGCCTGGGGACAGTGGATCAAATAGCAAAGTGGCAGATTTAGGGTTGATGTAGGATAAGAACTTCCTAATGGTTAGAGCCCTCCCAAAGTGGAATGGGCCACCTCAGGAACCCTCATTAATTCATTAAGGAACTTTGTATTAATTCCAGCAGCTTCTTTGCTTGACCTTCCTAATCTCCCTCACTGTGAAGAGTGAGCCTTCCATCACTGGAGGTCACTGAAGGGACTACATGGCTTTGAGATTTTAGGGTTGTCCCATTAAGAGGTCATGACTTGTCCATGGCCACACAGCCAAGAAGTGTCAAAGGTGGGGTTTGACCCCAGCCTTCCCGACTCCTGGCCTTCTTGTCTCTGTAGTGACATATCACCAGGAGGCAGGCTGACCTCATCAAAAACAGGTGGGGCCAGACCACGCTCATCATCTTTTTTTGGACAAGGTTACTCTACCAGATTAGGGGAGTGCCATGGACAGAATGTGCCTGGACGTCACCCAGGCGTAGGACAAAAGCCGCCCTGTGCCCCCTGGAGATGTAGGGTTAGGTCAGGTTGAAGCAAAGGGTAACAATTCATGGCCACTGTCAGCCAAGGAAGGACCTCTAGTGGAGGGCCTTTGAGATCTGGCACTGGTTGGCCCTGTACCCAGTAACCCCTACCCTTTTTTTTTCTTATCAGGAACACATGAAGGCACACTAATATTTTCATATGGTCCCCAACTGGGAGGGCTAGTCAACGCTCCTAATGACAGGATCTGAAAACAGCCTTTGAGCCTAGAACATTGGGCTGGGTCTAAGAACAGGGACTTTAATAGGGATCAGAGTAAAGTCACAAGAAAGGAAGTAAGCATTTATTAAGTTTTGGGCCTTGCATTATTATTAACTGTGTGCCAGTTGCTTTACAAATGCTATCTCGTGTGACCCTCACAACTACCCTGGGAGTCAGGTTCTCTTATTAGCCCATTTTACAGTTGAGGAAACTGAGGCTGAGAAAGTCTTGCCCAGAGCCACCCAGATAGTCATCATCTGAGGTGGAATTTGAATTCAGATCCTTCCTGGCTCCACCCCCAGCACTGTAACCCCTATGAGATGCTGCCTCCTTGAAGTCAGGGCCGATGCTCTATACACTGCGCCACCTAGCTGTCCTGGCACTGAGTCTTCAAAGAAACCAGGGATTACCACAGGTGACAGTGGAGGGAATGGCATGCCAGGTGTGGGAACAGCCAGTGCAAAGGCATGGAGGTAGAGTGTGTATGGAATGTCAAGGAAAGGGGGCCAGGATTCAAGGAGGCAAGTAATGTGTGAAGAGCCTGGAAAAGTAGGAAAGGGCCAGATTGTGAAGAGATTTCCACATCAAATGGAGGACTTTATATATTTGTTTGATTCGAGAGCCCGAGTTCTTAGCCTCTTTTTTTTGTACGTGGACACCTTGGGCATCTGGTGAAGCCTCTGATGCTCTGTGTTGGTAGGTCCCTCCTGACTCTGACATTCCCTGTTCTAAGGCCCTCTCAGCTCTGACATTCCATGTTCTCAGATTCCTACAAGTTCTGACACTCTCTGTTCCAAGGTTCCTCCCAGCTCTGATATTCTGTATGTTCTAAGGTCCCTCCCAGCTCTGACATTCCCTGTTCTAAGGTCCCTCACACCTCTGACATTGTCTGTTCCACAGTCCCTCCCAGCTCTGACATTCCGTGTTCCAAGGTCCCTCCCAGCTCTGACACACTCTGTTCTAAAGTCTGTCCCAGCTCTGATATTCTATATGTTCTAAGGTCCCTCCGAGCTCTGACATTCCCTGTTCCAAGGTCCCTCCCAGCTCTGACATCCTATCTTCTAAGGTCCCTCCCAAAGCTGTATTCTAGGGACCTCTATGTTCCAAGGTCCTTTCCAGCTCTGACATCCTATGTTCTAAGGCCCCTTCTAGTTTTGACGTCTGTGTTCTAAGGCCCCTCCCAAATCTGATAGGTGAGATTTGAGCTGAACCTTGAAGAATGAATCTAGGCTTGGGAGGGACTAAGTGATCTCTGGTTCTCTCCCTCAGAATCCTGTCTGTTGCCTACATTCCTAATGGAAGGAAAGGCTCAATGTCAGTTAGAGGTTAGTGAAAATAAAGGTGTGATTTTTTTTTCCCCCATCAGAGTTCATGGATCCCTGAAATCTGTCCGCAGACCCCTTTCCTAAAGAGTTTCCAAGTATTTGAAGGGGTCGTGGAAAAGAGAGTTGGACTCTTTCAGCTTGGCCCAAGACCTAGGAAGCTGGGAGAGAGGTAGATTTCGGCTGGATCTAGGCCCCTGCGGTCTCAAGGTCACATGTGGCCCTCTAGGACCTCAAGTGCGGCTGAATCCAGACTTCACAGACCAAATCCCCCTAATATAAGGATTTGTTGTGTAAAACTTGGGCTGGGTCAAAGGGCCTCACCCAAGGACCTAGAAGGCCACATGTGGCCTCTAGGCTGCAGGTTCCCCACCCCTATTCTAGGGAAAACCTTCCCAAATTGAGTTATGCCAGAGGGGAGTTGGGTTATCCTTAAGGGGCAGTGGTTTCCCCACCTCTGGAGGTCTTAAAGCAAAGCCTGAATAGCAGAGCAGGGATCCAGGGATTCCAGGGCCAGGTTGGACCAGACAAACAAAGCTAAAATTTGGTAACAGGAGTAGGATTATAGCTGGTGATGTTCGGCTTCATTGGCCACCAGTGAGACCCTTACAGGGGCTCCTGGCAAACTCAACCCCCAAAAGTCAAACAGTGGAAGGAGCCTGGGTGCTTAAAATCAGAGGACCCAGGTTCAGATTTTACACCTGGATTCTTACTTGGCTTAATTTCCCTGGGCTTCATTTTTCATCCATAAAATCTCATAGTTTCTGAGATGCCTTCCAGCCCTCTGCTCCGTGATTGTATCACTATAATCGCTGTAATTCCTAGGTCTGTGAATTCCTGTCTGAAGATTGAGGTTGTCTGGGCTTGGGGTAAGGGTGTTGGGGAAACTGGACCTGGTGCTGAGACATGGGGAGAGGAGCTGGCTGTAGCAGCTTCAGAGGGAAGGAAATAGGGGTGGAGATTGGTGCTTGGGGCTTCTTCCAGCCCCTCCTCAGCCCTCCTCTCCCCTCACTGACTCGGCTTTGTAAGTGGCTTTGTAAGCTTTGATGCACTTTTTTCTTTCTTTTTTTTTTTTTTTGGAGGCAACCGTGGGTGAAGTGACTTGCCCAGGGTCACACAGCTAGTAAGTGTCCGAGGCCGGATTTGAACTCAGGTTCTCCTGACTCCAGGACTGGTGCTCTATCTACTGAGTCACCTAGCTGCCTCTTTAATGTATTTTAAAAATGCAAGTTGCTGTAATTATGACTCTCACCTCTGTTGGCATTAACAGCTAGGAGGCGCCACAGTGCATGGAGTGCTGGGCCTGGAGTCGGGGAGACCTGGGGCCAGATCTGGCCTCAGACACTTCCTGGCTGTGTGACCCTGGGCAACTCACATAGCTTTTCTGACCTCAGTTTACCCATCTGTAAAATGGGGATAACAATGGCACCTGCCTTCCAAGGTTGTTGTGAGGACACAATGAGATATTTGTAAAGCACTTTGCAAGTCTTAAAGCTGTATATAAATGCTAGCTGTGGTTATTATTATTGTTACTGTTAATAAAAAATCATAATAATATATAATAATAATAAATCATAATAAAAATAATTCTAAATGAGAAAAGACCCTGTAGCTTCAGGGTTGAATTTGTCATGTCCATGTTGTCTCCATCGATAAAATGTAGCTCCTCAAGGGCGGGGATTATTTCACATTTGTTTTTATATCTCCTGTGCCTGGCACACAGTTGGTGCTTAATAAATGCTTAGGTGACCTTGGGCATGTCACCCTTCTTGTTTCCCCATCTGTAAAATGAAGGGAGTGGTTGGCCTTTTATAGAATCATAGGATTTAGAACGGGAAGTCATCTTCGAAACCATCTGTTCCAACACTTTCATTTCACAGATGAGGAAACTGAGGCCCAGAGAAGTTAAGGTCATAGGTGTATTGACTAGCAGAGCCCAAAACCTTGGTCTTCTGGAGTGTTCTTTGTAAAATAATGACAAACACGTATATATGTCATTTTATGGTTTGCAAAGCAAACATAGATTTTCTCCTTTGATCCTCACACCAACCCCAGGAGATAGGCACTGTTATTATCCCCATTTTTCAGATGAGGAAACTGAGGTAGCTAGCAGCACGGTCACACAGCTAGCATGCAGCTGCATCAGGATTTGAACGCTGGTCTTCCAGACTCTTCCTTCTCTACGCCTGCAGGGGATGATGCTCCTGTGACCTTCTCTGCTCCATGGTCTAACACATATTCCCATCCCCATCCTCCCTCTCATTGCTCTGGCTACAGGTGGCTTCTGGCTCGGTGTGGACCAGGAGGGGGAAGAAGGCACCCTGTCGTGGGTGGGCACCCTGTTTGGGGTGCTGGCCAGCCTCTGCGTCTCCCTCAATGCCATCTACACCAAGAAGGTGCTGCCGGCGGTGGACGGCAGCATCTGGCGGCTGACCTTCTATAACAATGTCAACGCCTGCGTCCTCTTCCTCCCGCTGCTGTTGCTGTTTGGGGAGCTGCAGAGCCTGGCTGCCTTCGACAAACTGGACAGCACCCACTTCTGGGGCGTGATGACCCTGGGCGGGCTCTTTGGCTTTGCCATCGGCTACGTGACGGGCCTGCAGATCAAGTTCACCAGCCCCCTGACTCACAACGTGTCAGGCACGGCCAAAGCCTGTGCCCAGACGGTCCTGGCTGTCCTGTACTTTGAGGACACCAAAAGCTTCCTCTGGTGGACGAGCAACTTGATGGTGCTGGGTGGCTCCTCAGCCTACACGTGGGTGAAGGGGCTGGAGATGAAGAAGGCCCAGGCGGAGCTGATCCCCAGAGAGGGCGAGAAGGGCGAGATGGGGGTGTGAGCCCTCCCTGCCCCGGTCAGAGACCTCAGGCAGGGCTGGGGGTGAAGGGCGGGGAGGAACCCTCTGGGGGGGGGGGCGGGGTGGACAGATCTGGGGAATTGGAGTCTGCTGGCCCCCAGGGGGAGTGGGAACCCCAGTGAATGGATCTGGAAGCTGGCCAGTCACTCCTGTATCATTACACCCGTTTCTCTCATGTTTTATGGTTTACTTTATGGTTTACAGAGTTCCTCCCTCACAACCGCGTTGTGTGGGTGTGCACGTATTATTATCCCCATTTCACAGGACCTGAGACTTGGGAGCAGCGACGGGTCACTTGGCCAATAAGTGTCAGAACTGGAATCCAAGCCTGGGTCTTCCCAGAATTTCTCTCCCTGCTGCCTGTAAAGAGCCATCAGTCTCATTGTAAGGACCAGCCAAAGACTGCCCTCCTCTCCTGTCTGGGGGGTGTTTTTAGACCTTGGAGGAGGGGTCTCCTAGGAGAGGATGGAGTGGGTGGAGAAGTAAGTTATCCTTGCTGTCAACTTAGGAACCCCAAGCCAGAGGGATTGCCCCTCCGTCCTGCTCTCTTCTCCCATGGAGGATGTTATACCCAGAGGCTATTAAGTATTATAAATGTCCCCGTTCGTCCCTGGGACCACTAAAATCTGGAGTGGGAAGCAAGTGCAAACAGAGCCCTCATCCCTCCCCACATCTCCATCCACCAAACCCCTTTGAAAGCAGTTGCTAAATTTGCTGTCTCCATATCTTAAAGGAAAGTATGGCCTTGGCCCAAATGGAAAAAAATGGGCTATCTGCCCCTTGATGTGTGAGCGGCTGAGAGCCCTGGCTGGCCAAAAGGGTGGGGAGTACACTTTGGAAGGAAGATTGAATTGAGCCCAGCTTCAGTGAAGCTATTTCCCCCACAGAACCACCCTTGACCTCGACCTCTGCTCTTGGGGGTTCCCCTGGCCTCGGCTTGGGAAAGAGCAGTCTCACTCCTCAGCCATGGGCGGGTATTAGCCCCTTGGTTCTCCTCTGGCCTGCCAGGACATCTGGCTTGGATTCCAGCGTGAATGAAAGCCCTCCAGCTGCCCATATCTGTCTGCTCCCAGCCACAGCCCCCGGTGATCTGTCTCTAAGATGAGGTCTGGCTGGGGTTTCCCGATACGGTGACCTGTGGGCAGAGTAACCTCTGATCAGGCTCTGTTGCTTCCTTGTTTTCTGGACTGGGATTTGTTTGGGGAGGGGGCTTTCCATGTGAGAAGACCTCCCCCAACTCCTGTGTGAGGGTAATGTTTGACCTTACATTACCATTCTCTTCCTTTTCACTCCACCCTGAAGTTGGGAGATTCAAATGATGCCTTGAGTGTTTCAAATAGGCCAAGAAAATGTGACTTCTTTCTTAATGCTGCTTATGCCTGTCCCCACACAGGGGCCAGAGGGTATTTTATTCCCATCTATCCCCTAGGAATGAAGAGGGCTTAGGTCGTTACAGAGTCCTCTGTGTCCACCTACCCTCTTTCGTCCACATGACAAATACTGGATTACTTGTATTATGATTGGTGTAGAAGGCTGAGTGTGAGGGGTATAGCATCTTCTTTAAGACTGAATGTTGGAAAGGGTGAAAGAGCTACCACATAAAGGTGCTTAATAAATATTTGTTGATTGATTACATTACAGTTTGCGAGCACTTTCTTCACAACATTAGTGACCATCACCACGCCTCGCACACAATAGATGTTTAATAAATGCACATTGAATTATGGAAGGGTTATCTGAGGTAGGTGACCCAAGTTTTGAAGACCAGGGATGTTAAGTGGTTTATCTGTTGTCATATGGCTAACAGGAGGCTGGGCTGAGAATCCAACCCAGGAGTTGTGGCTTCAAGTCTGGTTCTCTTTGTCCTAGCCTATACACATTTTGTGAAGAGGGAAGAAAAAAGCATTTGGGTTCTGCCTCCTCTGCTCCATATTTCTTTTTTTTGGGGGGGGGGGGCTAGGCAACGGGGTTAAGTGACTTACCCAGGGTCACACAGCTAGTAAGTGTTATGTGTCTGAGGCCAGATTTGAACTCAGATCCTCCTGAATCCAGGGCTGGTGCTCTATCCACTGTGCCACCTAGCTGCCCCTGCTCCATATCTTTTGTTGAAATTTAGGGGAAGGAGGTGCAATGTAGTGTGATTGTCCAGAGGTAACAGGAAAAAGACTGAAAAATAGAGAGGTATGCGTAGGATGTGGTTGGGCTGTATTCATGTAACAGTTATATATCTAGACCTAAAAGAGAGTGTGTATGTGTATGTGTGTATGTGTGTGTGTATATATATACATATATATATGTATGTATGTATGTATGTATATATGTATTTTTAGGCAATTGGGGTTAAGTGACTTGCCCAGGGTCACACAGCTAGTAAGTGTCAAGTGTTTGGTCTGAGGCCGGATTTGAACTCAGTTCCTCCTGACTTCAGGGCCGGTGCTCTATTCACTGCGCCACCTTGCTGCCCCCTAAAAGAGATTTTAGAGGCTAACTAACCCATTCCCCTTTAATTATGTGCATGAAGAAAGATCCACACAGGAAGTGAGTGGCAGAGCCAAAATTCTCACCCCAGACCACTGGCTGCAAATCAGGACTTTCCCCCCTGCAACATACTAATGATACTGCCTAAGCTGCTTTACCATTTGGGGTCTATACCAATCAGACCACCAATGGCTTACTTTATAGAACTAGGAAAAATAACAAAATTAATTTTAGGAATTGAAGGTCTAAAATGGCAGGAAAATTAGGAATGAAGGGATCAGAGCGTTAACCCATCTCATATAAGGCATAAATCATCAAAGCCATTTAATGCTCATTCAAGAAGACAAAAACGGAGCCTGGGAGAAACTAGGTAAATCCCAAAAGTAACACAGCAGCCCACCAGCATCGCCCGTGTTACAGCGTCCCGAAAGTCTCAGTGCATTTTTAAGCTAAAATAAGGCAGCAACCCAGCTGGGCTCTCCTAACGTTCCCCCCTAAACAACTTTAAAATAGCTCCTCAAATCAAGTTTTGGAATAGCAGAGCCAGTCAAAGGTCGGGGTGAGACATTTTTCCAGCCTAAGACAACGTGGGAGGTCTGCCGGAGGGCTCTGTGACATCAGGGTGGGATCCTGGCCCCAGCAGTGGAGTCTTGGGTGGTCCAGTAGCGGCAGCGGCAGCTTTGGATCTCTCAGCCCAGAGACGGTAAGGGAGTTGGACGAGATTGCAGGGGCCCCCGGCTTGCATTGGGGGCAGCTGGCGCTGAGTGGCAACTCTTGCCCATACACAGTTCCAGGGCAGAGAGGAGCACTTGTGGTCAGTCACAAGGGTCCCTGGTAACAGAGAGGATCATTAGCTCTTGTGACTTTGGGAGAACAGGGGCCCTGGTCATAGCCCCAGGGCCAAGAGGAGCACTAGGGCTTGTGGCTGCAGGGGACCAAGGTCCCTTCCTGGGTGAGCCCAAAGCATAGACAGGAGAGCAGTGACCACACCTCTCCCCAGATCACTCAACCTTGGAAGCGCTGAAAACTCGCAGACCCCCAAAACTAACTCTGGAAACAGCAGCACACAAAAGCTTGAAGTTCATCTCATCCAAGATGAGCAGTGTTCAACTTTAATATAAAGTTCAAGGTCAAGAAACAGACTAGGAAAATGAGCAAACAAATAAACAAAAAAGAACTCGACCATAAAAAGCTACTACTGAGGCAGGAAAGATAACTGGCATAAACTGAAAGGACAACAATGTGAAACTAGCTACAACCAAAATCTCAAAGGAAAAAATGCTAATTGGAAACCAGCCCAACAAAGAATTCCTGGACAAGTTAAGGAAAGATAAGAGTGGTAGAGGACAAATTGGGAAAAGAAATGAGAGTGATGCAAGAAAATTATGAAAAAATTAACATCTTGGTAAAAGAGCACAAAAAAGTACTGAAGAAAATAACACCTTAAAAAGCAGAATTGGTCTGATGGAAACAAGAGGTATAGAAGCTAACTAACAAATACAGTCCCCAGTGAATAGAGCACCAGCCCTGGAGTCAGGAAGGACCTCAATTCAAATCAGGCCTCAGACACGTCATACTTACTAGCTGTGTGACTCTGTGCAAGTCACTTAACCCCAGTTGCCTCACACACACACACACACACACACACACACACACACAAATATAATTCCCTAAAAATTAGAATTGGGCAAGTGGAAGCTAATGACTCCACGAGACATTAAGAAATAAGCAAACAAACAAGAATGAAAAAATAGAAGAAAACATCAATAGAAAAACAACTGATCTGGGGGAAAAGATCAAGGAGAGAGAATTTAAGCATTATTGAACTGAAAGCCATGATCAAAGACATCATATTTCAAGAAATTATCAAGGAAAACTGCCCTGACGTCTTAGATCCAGAGAATAAAATAGAAATTGCAAGAACCCACCAAGTACCTCCTGAAAGACATCCCAAACTGAAAACTCCCAGGAATATTATATTGTATACAATTGGGTATAGAAATCTATCTTACGTAATAGGGAAATAGGAGGAAAAGAGGGAAAGAGATATGGGTGGAAGGGAATAATAAAAGGGAGGATGGATTGAGGGAGAAGTAGTCAGAAGCCCAAAAAAAGAGAAAAAAAAACTTTTCAGGAGGAACAGGATAAAAAGAAAGATAAACAGAAGAAAACAGCATGAAGGAAAATACATAGTACTCATAACTGTAAATATGAATGGGATAAGCTCCCCCATAAAATGGAAGTGAGTAGCCTACTGGATTAGAAACCAGAAGCCTAGAACATACTGTGTACAAGACACACAGGAAACAGAAAGACGCACAGTTCAAATAAAAGGCTGGAGCAGAATCTATTATACTTCATCTGAAATAAAAAAAAAGTAGGGTAGCAATCATGATTTGAGATAAAGCAAAATCAAAAATAGACCTAATTAAAGGAGAGAATCAGGGAAACTACAATTTGCTAAAAGGGACCATAGACAATGAAATAATAGCAAAAATTTTACAGCAAATTTCTCTGATAAAAGCCTCATTTCTCAAA